AACCAACTACCAACCAACCACCAATCAACAACCAACCACCAATCAACAACCAACTACCAACCACCAACCAACCAACCAACCACCAACCAACCACCAACCAACCAACCACCAACCAACCACCAACCAACCACCAACCAACCAACCAACCACCCACCAATCAACAACCAACCAACCACCAACCACCCACCCATCAACAACCAACCAACAACCAAAACACCCAAACTACCATTTGTCCAGGCATTTCATTGTGTAAAAATGGAAAAATCTCTAAAAACTATGGAGTTAACAACTTATGTTCTTAGAAAATTCCACTTACCACATTAAAGGTATTTTAACAGTTTTTTTAAAACAGATTTTCTTTATGAGCGTCTTTGTGCACATGTCTGAGTGTACATGCACATGCGTGCAGGTACCCACAGAGACCTGAAGAGGGCACTAGAGCCCTTGGCACCAGGGTTACAGGTGGTTGTGAGCTACCCATGTGGGTACAGGGAACTGAGTTCAGGTCCCTATGACTGTGCAGCAAACACTCAACATGCCCTATTTTAACATTTAAAATGAAGTGCACTCAATACACTAACTTCCCTTTTTCATATTTAGCTTTTAATCCTGAGAACCATTTGAGACTGGACAATTTACAGTAGCAGTTCTTAAAACTTTTTGCACTTAAGATCCCTCTTATATATTTTGGTTTCTTTTCTTTTCCTTTTAAGACAGTCTATCTATATAGCCCTGGCTGTCCTGGAACTCACTACATAGACCAAGCTGGCCTTGAACACACAGAGATTCTTCTGCCTCTGCTTCCCTAGCTAGTACTGGGATTAAAGGCGTGCACAACCATGCTTGGTATAAATTTTATGTTTAATTGTGTGTATGAGTGTGTAAGTAAAAATGCCTAGAGTCCTGAAGGGGGTGCTGGACTGCTAGAACTTAGGTTACAGGTGATTGTGAGCCAAGTGAGGAAACATGAGCAGCAGGCACTCCTAAGTCCTGAGCCATCTCTCTAGTCCCTCCTTCCACATCTTACACTTTACTGAAGATGTTGAAGAACATCTGGTTACTGAAACTTGGATCTCCTGCCTTCTACACTCAGTGTGCCACAGTGAGCTGATGCATGGAAGAACCCAGCCTCACTCTGACGCTCAGTAACAGCCTCACAAACCTCCCCACAGCGCGCCAGGCTCCATTGCAGAAACAGGTCCACAGGCGCGGTTTCCGTCCTGGGAAGTCCTGTCCTCAAAAACTGCAATTCTGACCGTGGGCCACCACAGACCCACAGTCAGGAGGAGGAAAGTGGAGGCGGACGGCGTGAACTCCTCCCTCTGACTGTTTTCTCTCAGGTGAACAGTGGGGAACTTGACCTGTTTCCTCAGAGGACGGCAGAACTGGCCCTTCCACTGTACCCTGGGTGTGTGGGGACAGACGCAGGTACAATTGAGTGTGTCCTGGACGCAGAGATTCCCAGAGGAAAGCGTGAACGCAAGCAGACAACTGGCGCTTGTTCACATTCCCAGTCTAACACCAAACTATCTCCTTATACGTAAGTGCCACATGGCTGTCCTGTTTGTGAGGAAGTTTGCAGAAAATCTCGAGGTGGCCTGGCTCAGTCCTTCCACAGGAACTGGGCTCTCGCTTGGCATGCTCTGGTCTGAGCCTCGGCTGAGCTCCCGGGGCTCCGAGTGCCCTGAAGAGGGCACTGCTGAGAGAGAGCCGCTCACCGAGTGCTCAGCCAGCACGGCTGTGACGGCGTCAGGACATCTGGCGCACCCTCCCCTCCCTGACAGAAAAGGCACGTGGCGCGTGGCCCCTCACCTCATTGAAATGCACGTCCTGCATCCCCACATCCTCCATCATGGAAGCCTCCTCGTCGATGTTCGGCGTGATGACCCTGAATGCTGTGCAGCCCTGCCTGAACATGCCTAGGTAGGGAGAGAGCAGAGGAGCACCGTCAGCCGAAGGTGGCTGTGTCTGTGCTGAAGTCAACAGGTGGTGTGGCGATCTCTCAGCCTGGCGGCCACACAGAGGCAGGAACAGCACACGCTCTCTCCAGTCATTTCCTACACTTCACCTTCAACTTCTTCACTTTGTTTTTCAGCTCTTATTTTTTTACCCACCTTAATGAAAACCCATTCAATCTTCAAATAACCTATATGCTGAAATTCATGACTGAACCAAGCTAGTGATAAATGAACAGGGAAATGAAATTTTGATTCGTTGAGAGGATCCAGTCAGACATCACGAAAGACCAAGTCTCCAAAGCCAGCGAATGAGAAATAAGCGGTGCAAAATCAATTTCAAGCGGTTGGTCATCCCAGCTGCTCAGGCTGGACAGCCACAACTCAGTCTGGAGCCCTCCCGACTCCCTCCTGTAACACGGGTAATTCACCAGCCACTCATGGGCCGAGGGGCTGCCCTGGCGGGCCTCGTAAGGCTGTCTGGGCCCCGGCACCTGACACTGTTGGCCAATGACGTGAGATCAGGGTCGAGGCAGGGGGCAACTCCTTGAGCAGAACCATTCCTGCCAGATGGTGGGACACAGTTAAAGCCAGTTCACAACCTGTGGTGTGACGTGTATAAGGGAGGAAGCACTGGAGTCGTTTGACCACTCTAGTCTGGGATGCCCCTTTTTGCTTTTGCTGCTGCACATTTGTTCAGGTTTCTGGTCAATCCCAGGTCAGTCATTTCCGGTCAATTGTGAGTTAGCCAGAATTTCCACCTCGGTCCTCACACAGCCGTATTTTGATCTGACTATATGGAAAGCGAAGAATCCCCAAAAAGCACAGATCTAGGAGCACGAGGACACATTAATAGACCCAAATAAAGATACACAAATCAAGCACTGTGTTTAGGCCAGCAGGACAAGAAAAACGACCACCAAAATGTTTTCCTCGCACGGCAGAGGAATGGTGGTGAGTGACCCAGAGAGCCCAGTTTCACAAGGACTGAGACAGAAGCCCGAGTGACGGCAAGCGGGGCAGCCAGGGACCCGCTGCTGGGGACCCTCAAGCTCACCTCCCCGACTCTGCCTTTGGCAGGAAGACAGGGGGTCACGCTGGAGCACTAGGCCAGCTTCCAAACACGAAATGCATCAGCTGTGAAAGGACTCAGCAGCAGACGCTGCACAGCCCCTTTGATTCCCCTCTCGTGACTCTGGCAAACCCACTCCACAGAACAGACCTGTCATGGCCTTGGCATGTGACCCCAGTGCCTCTCACTTCTCACCACTCCTCGCTAGCCTGGACCAGGCGCGCCTGCTCTTCCTTCTGTGTGCAGACTGCCAGCTTTCCCAGAAGCCCACTGCTCCAAAGCAAATGCCATCCTGAAGGCTGCACCAGCTTTCACCAAGAGGAGGCACGCGTGAGCCCGTGGAGCCCTCCAGCCGCCAAACCTGCCCCACACCCTGGGCCGGCAGGGCGGCCTTCTCCCCCAAGGAAGCCAGCAGGGCCGTATCCCAGGGACTGTCCAATAGCACAGAACGCTCACTGACCGGTCAACAGTTCTGGTGGGAGTGAGCATAAGGGAACTACTCACTCACTCCTCCCACTGGTCAGGAGGACCACACTTATTAGCCAGTTTTTACAGAACAGCACGAGGCTAGGACCCTGGGCCAGAACATCAGGCCCCCCACCCCCACCCCCCGTAACACTGTCCCTTTTTGCTTTGCCCATGGAGGCAATCAAATGCTGCAGCTAGGAAGAAGCCGAGCAAGGTGCCTGTGTGCGGTGCAAAGCCCTGCCTCCCAGTCCGCCTGAGTGGCCTCCTCACAGGGCTCGACCCTTCTCCTCACCTTTCCTCATGAGATACTCTGCCACCAAGGCTGTCACGTGGACATAGCACATCGCTGCCTGAAAAAAAAAGACAGACATTCAGAACAGTCACTTAGAAATTGCTTAAGAGCACTGCCGTTAGCTCCAGGCCACCACTGACACTGAGGAGCGAGGCGGAGGACCTTGAGCTTTGTGCTACTTACAGCCGTTACACACAAAAACAGCAGCAGCTTGGGGACTGAGACCACATTCCTCAAAGCCAACAAGAAGCGTTTAAAGAAAGTGTTTTCTTCCCAGCCCCAGGTCTCAGGTGCCGAGAAATTTTCTTTCAGCGTTGCTTATTCTTAAACATGTTTTCAGTTATTTATGTGTGTGTGTGTGTTTGTGAATTTGTTCCAAATTCAGCTCTGTGTGCGGACTCAGCCTGGATCCTCTGAAGAGCCGTGTGTGCTGCTAACTGCTCAGCCATCTCTCCAGCCTGTTTTCTCTCACTGTGAACACGGAAAGCTGTGATTTTCACTCCAACACAGTTCTAAATAAGAATCTGGGCTGCGGTGCAGCTCGGGAGATGTGTGTGCCCAGCACAGCGTCACTCACGACCCCCTGCCCCGACCACAGAGCTAACTCTAAGGTACCTTAAAACGAGAGCAGGCAAAGGAATCCTTTCCCTAGGTGCCCGCTATTGTCAGACTCGGGATCGGGGTTGGCTCGGCACTGTCTTCAGCAGCTGGGTGGCTGCCACCGTGTGGTGCCCGAGGTACGGAACACCCCCACCGTGCCTAATGTGCGCGGAGAGCCTGTGGGAGTTAGACTCCCTGTGCTAACAACAGGCTGAGGCACGCACACGGCACTCCGCCTCTACTGAACAGCCGCAGGAGTGACTGAGGCGGCTTTCTCACCAGGGCACAGCACTGACCACATGGGCCACACGGCTTGGTCCCTCTTTTACAGGGTGCGTGGATCTCCCCAGATCCAGGATGCCTCCAGAACCCCTAAGCTGTGCATCCTGGGGCGGGTGAGCCGAGCACTGAGAGAATGGTGCTCCTGACTGGAGCAGTCACGTGAGCAGCTGCTCCTCCTGCCTTAGTCTCCCTCCCAAGGACAGACTGTGACCCAGAGGTGCACTTCCCTCCTCTCAGGTGTGTTCAGGCCTTTTCTCACGGAAATGGATGAAGCAGAACGGGCCTTGGAGTGTGACACACTTGGAAAAGGGGTTGTTCTTAGTAAAATGAGGTCATATCAGTGCTTCTCAGGCACAAATGGGCCACAAGGGAGAGGAGACTTGGGACCCAGACCCACAGTAGAGGATCCAGGGGATAGGGGAGGCTGACGGGGGATCTGTCCACAGGCGATGGACACTGGCGACAGGAGCAGCCAGGAGGGAGGCAGGACGCACATTCTCCCCTGGGATGCTTGAGAGCAGGCCTCAACACCTGGACCTGGGCCCAGCCTCCCACCCCAGGAAGTGTGATAGGCCGCCCTGGCTGTGACAGCCGACCTTGGAGAGGGCTCTTTCTGCTTCCCAGAGACCGGGCCTCACAGATCATATGGAAAGCATGAGCCCCGAGAATGACAGAATTACTCTCGTGGCTTTGTTTCCACGGGCCATGTGTCGTTTACGGTCACACACAGGGAGTGTGCATGCTACAGCCCGTTACCCTGACGAACAGGAGCCAGTCCCTGAAGGAGTGTTAACTGAGGAGATGGCAAACAGGAAGACCCTCACTTTGGGGTCTTCCTGCTGCCATGTGCAATCGTGCCCAGCCCCAAACCCTGAAAGGCGGTCTCACAGGACACACAACCTGTGTGAGTTCTCTTCAGTTTCTCATTTTACACATGACACCATCCAAGCAGGGAGGGCTAGAGAAAGTTAGGCATGTGTGATCCTGGCCTGGCAGTCTGTCCTGCTGCCCACTCCCCGCTGTGCTGCCCTCTCGCTGACACGTGTCTGCTCTGGAGACCGCCAGAGCAGGGGTGCAGCGTTCCCACAGTACCACAGTGGATGGGAGAGCCAATCCCATGTAAGCCTGACCTGCAGGCGCATTTCGGTGCTGGTAACGAACTTTAGGCATCAGGGTGGCCACACGGATACCCAGGTAGCCCTTCTACTGTCCCCAGTGATCCTCAGGCCCCGTGAAGTCCCCAGCCGAGGACTCCTGCTCAAGGGCCTTGTGGCACCACACTGCTTTCAACGGCCTCTTTTGGTCATGGGTACACTTTTCCTCCAAAGCCTTCAGAGAACAAACAGCCAACCGTCTCTCAGGAACCCATTAGGAGGCAGCAGGTTCCCTACCTCCGAGAGGTCGCCGTTCTTAACGTGGATCCTCGCCATGCTGTCCAGCCACGTCTTCCTGAGCTCCGGTGTGCTGGCGTAGGACTTGGCCAGGCTGTACTGCAGGTCCACCAGCATCTCCGGGTCCTTCTCGTGCTCCTTCATCTGTGCCGTGGCCATCAGGACCGTGCGGATCCTCTTGGTCAGGTCTTTCACGTCAGAGGAGAAGCTGGTGTGCTAAACGGGGAGAGGGCAGGACTGGTGACTTCCCTCACCGTGTCCCCCATGCATGCTCAGTGGAGAGGGCTGGACTTGTGATGTCCCTCACCGTGTCCCCCGTGCATGCTCAGTGGAGAGGGCCGGACTCGTGACGCCCTCCCGGTCTCCCTCAGGCACACTCAGCCTGAATTAGGCGGGCCTTCTATTAACCCGGAAGCTGCCCACCTTGATGAGCCGGTCGCTGTTGGCACAGTTGTTGATGATGGACAAGGACTGCTGGAATCTGGTTCCTCCAATACCGACCACATCTGCAATCAGCTGGCTGACAGAAATGATGACCTGAGGGACACAAACACAAGCAATCAGTCCACCTTCACATGACAGCAGGCTTGGCCTCCGGGCTCCTTAGCATGTGCGTGAGCCACAGCACAGTGAGATGTGTGGGGCAGGGAACCACACAGAATGGGAACAGCGTCTCAGGTTTTTTCTTTCTTTAACCACTTTCCAAAATCATTCCAAGATTTGTTTTCCTAATGCACTCTGCTCATAAGTAAAAAGGCGAGTCAGAAAGAGCAGGAAGAGCAAAGCAGACATGGCCACAGCACTTGGTTGGCACTTATCCACTGTCTTCTGCGACGGAGGGGGCTGTTTAGCCCCCTTCAGGTATTCTGCGCTCCCGCCTATTCAGCATTCAGTGGGTGGCGTTAACCAGGCAACGGGCACTTGTGACCAGCGACCCCTTGACTCGGGCTCGTGAGTGCAAACATGGGGGCCATCGTGTACTTCCTTTTCCTCCCGCAGATGCAAGCACAACCATGGAGCGCTGCCAGCTGAATCCCTCTTCCTTCCAGTCTCACTGCCCCTCACCCGGAACGCCACCTCTGCCCTAGACTGCACAGTGTGGACCCTCAGCTCTGCTCTTATACTGGAGAGCGGGCGGGTCTTCCACATCCTCGGAGATTCGGCCCGTCACAGCAAGCCTTCCGCAGCTTCTCACCTGCTCTAACCACGCAGGGACCCCTGGGCGTCCAGGGCCCGGAACACGCCTAGCACCCGCCCACTTACACCCCATCTTCATCCCCGGCTCCCCAGGATCCCCGGCCAGTGCTCTCCCGCTGCCCTCGAGTCTGTCTGGCGCAATGGCAGCCCCCTGGGCGTGCTCTCCACGGGGCCAGGGGAGGAAGTCCTGCGCACGGCTGCAGTCACACGAGGGCTGTGACGGCTACTGTTTCAGAAAGGCCCCTACCACGTGCTCACAGGAAGCATCTACAGGACACAGGACCTGCAGAGACTCTGGAGCTCTGACAGACAGACAGGAGGTATGGTCACGGACAGAAGACAGGAGGTATGGTCTCAGACAGAAGACAGGAGGACCTACTTTGGGCTTTTGTTCTTTAAGGCATTTACGATCCAGTCCTTGAGCCAACAGACTATCAGTCAATAATGATTAAGTATCTAGCTGTCAGGTTGGTGACGCACACGGCAGGCCAGGATCTTACAGTGTGTGTGAAATAAACACGTACTGTACTTCTCAACCTCTCCTCTCACGGCCTCGGGGAGCAGGAGGAGGGTGTGGGGGCCTCGGTGAGTGGGAGGAAGAGGAGGAGG